GACACACACGCGTGCGCGCGCGGAAATAAAAGGCTAGTGGAAGCAGGAGGGAGAGATTTGAGGGTAATGGGGAGTGAATACAGCCAAAGTACATGATATACTCAAACAAAAATGTAACCATGACACCCATCATGACACTCTGTACAAAGAATATACACCGTGAAACACTTATGATTCCTTCTTTAAGCAGTCAAATGACAAGACACACAGGGCAAGGTATGTGGGAAGAGGTGAGGGGTTTCTATGCTCTGGGTGTGCTATCCTTCAGCTCCTCCATGTGCTGAGCAACACGGAAGCTTCTGAACTGTGATTTCCTGGTTTTACAGAGGCTTCATTTGGAAGGCATGATGGACTGTATCACAGGCCACTGGTGATCAACTCCTCAGACCTTCTCCCCTCCTTGAAGGTCAAGGGTGGGATTGAAACTTCCAACCTTTGAATTACAGGGTTAGCCGCTCAGACAGCTTCCCCTATTCTGAGGTTATCCAGGTGTCCACCAAGTGCTGTCTCAGAACAAGATGCTCCCATTACCTAAGAAATTCCAAGGAATTCAGGACTTCTATGTCAGACATTACAATAACTCAGGAAATTAACAAAGACCTTAGGATCAAAGATCAAATGCAGAACCAAAGACTCTCTCAGGAAACATGTATATGCATATGTATATATATATATATATATATATATATGCCTACATATGTACGAATGTTTGAACATGTATGTACGTATTACCTATACACGTTGTGGATATATGTATATGTATGCGTGTATGTATACATTATATACCTATATATCTTTGTATTTTGGTCTTATTGGCTTATGAACATACTGACCTGGAAAGCAGCCAATCCACTCTGTCCTCAAGAGTTCCTGAGGTCTCACTCTCAGTCCCTGGCTTCTGAATGTCACGTTGGTAAGAATCAACACAATTTCAGCATATTAAGTCAGCTTTTCATCACTGACAAATATCTGAAACAAACAATTTAAAGGAAGACAGATTTATTTCAGCTGATGACTTCCAAGGTTTCAGTTCATGGTCAGCTTGCTCCACTGCTGTGGCCCTGTTCAGTGAGGCAGACCATCTTAGCACAAAAGGATGTGAACTGAACTTGCTTGCCTCCTGGTGGCCAGGAGGTGGAGGGAGACAGAAGGAAAGGCAAGGAACAAGACAAAAACCTTAAAAGCACAGCCCACAAGTCACTTCCTCCAGCTAAGCTCCACCTACTGTTTCTAAAATAGTGCCACCAGCGCAAGATGCTCAGTGGGTAAAAGCACTTGAGGCCAAGCCTGACAACCTGATTTCAATTCCTAGGACCCACATGGTGGAAGGAGAGAACTGACTCCCACAAGTTGTCCTCTGACTGCCACACATGCACCATGCACACACGCACCCTTACACATAGATACATGCATGCACACACAAAATAATGTAATTTTAAAATTACATGATTGGCCACCACCTGGGGACCAAGCTCATTATACATGAGCCCTTTCAGGGGATGCCTTATATCTAAGCCATAACACGTCTCATGCTCAGGTGCTCACAGTTTCTGAAACCGAGGCGGTCATCACTGCTGAGACATGGTCCCAGCAAACTACCTGAAGGAGATCATTTTTCCATCATCACACTATCTGTGACAGCATACCCAGTCAGTGATGGTTCCCTAGACCTTAGCTAGTTTGCTCTCTAACTATAAACGTGTCTGTTTCCATTCCCCGAGGATTTTTTTTTTTTTTTTTTTTTTTTTTTTTTTTTTATAGAGGTTTTCACACTCTCCTTTCTCACTATGTAGACCAGGATGGCCTTGAACTCACAGAGATCTGCCTGCCTCTGCCTCCCAAGTGCTAGGACTACAGGCGTGTGCCACCATGCCTGGCCTCCCTGAGGATCTTTTTAAAAGCATGAGAGTAATATATAGAAGTTTGGGGGGACAAGCAGAACCCTTGAACCAAATAACTCTACCTAAATATACATAGTGGTTTTGAGTTTATTAACTTTTAAAATTTGTGTGTGATGTGTATGTATATATGTGTGTGTGTGTGTGTGTGTGTGTGTGTGTATGCACCTGTGTGAAGGCTAGAGGTTGATGTCACATGTCTTCTATCACTTTCTTATTTTAAAATTTTTTATTACATTTATTTGGGGCAGGGTCATGCATATGCCACAACATGGAGGACAGCTTGAAGGAGTGGTTCTCCCCTTCCACCATATGGGTCCAGGGGATTGACTCAGGTTGTCAGGCTTGGTGTCAAGCACCTTTACCCAGTGGGCCATCTTACTGGTCCTCCACATTATTTTTTGAGAGAGACGGTCTCTCACTCAACCTTAAGTTCAAGTCTGGCTGGCCAGCAAGCCCTAGGTTCCGGAGGCTTGCACCAAGGTTCCAGAGAAAAGCCCATGTGGCCAGGCAGTGTGTAGCAGGATCAGATTCCCTGCAGGGAGCCCCCTGGGTGGGCTACATATGAAGTTGAAAGTTGAAGCAAAGGAAGAGCTCAGGATTTCAGAGATGTCAGGAATATGCTATGGGCAACATGTAGAGACTGAAACAGGCCATCTGTGCTACAGGCCACAGGGCTCTAGGGATGGCTCTGCCCAAGCCTGTTAGAGCTCACGTTATGCCATGTGTTCCAGATGTTAGACATGGAGCTATAGGATCTGGTATTTTCCTACTGGGTTCTGGCCTTCCTTTGGCCTGATCTTTCTTTTCCATCCTCTTCTTCCCTTGCCAAACTCCTGGTTAGAATGGGAATGCTGTGTGCCATTATAAAATGAGAGCAAGTGGCTTGTTTTTCACTTTTACTGGGGCTCACAGTTAAGAATTTACCTTGAGTCGCAGAAAAGATTTTGGATGTGGACTTTTGAAGTGCTTGAAGTGTTAAGACTATGGGGATGCTTGAAGTTGGACTAAATCATTTTGCATTATGGCTATGAATCTTTGAGGGTCAAATGTTATAGTCTGAATCTGGACTTCTTCCCATAAGTTTGTGTACTGTGTGCTTGTTCTCCAGATTGTTGCAAATGAGGCTTAGCTGGTCAAGGTGGGTTACAAGGGTGGATTTTCATGGCTATAGCCTAGCTTCTCCTTCTGTCATGATCTGCTTCTTGATCCACCCAGATGTCAGCCTCTAGCACATCCTCCGTGAACGTCACCTTGGTTTCCTTCCTGTGATGGAAGGAAAATCCCTGAAACTGAAAACACTTTTCTCCAATACACTGTTTCTGCCAGGTAGCTAGCAACAAAACTAGTAATATTGATGATGTTCGACTTTTTTCTACCTCTCTTCTAATGGAAATATACTTTCACGATGACAAATCTCTCATTTATTCCTGGATTTAAGACTGCCTCAAGCTTTTAAAAAAACATTTACTTACTTACTTACTTATTTATTTATTTATTTTTTATTTATTTATTTATTTAATTTATGTGTATGTGTGTACTCGCGTGCACCCATGTACGTGGGGTCATATTCACCCCTGAATTACCTTCCTATGTCCCTCTCTCACTAGTCTCTTCCACTCCCCAACAATAATCATCCCTTATATTCTTTACCAGGTGTCTCACCCCTTCCAGCTTTCTGGAGTCTACTGGTACAGCTGTGGCATCCTTTGGGAGGCTTCGGATCACCTTGTCTTTTCAGATTTCTTGTGCTTCTACACTCAGATTTGTGCATCTGATGGTTCAGATATCTCTACCATTTTGATGAAGTGGGCCTCTTAGTAAGCAACTTTCTCCTGAAGATGGGTGCAATGTTAGCTTTGATTCTGGTTGGGCACAGAGTAGTCTCCCTATACCTTCTCTAGTTGTGATTAATGGCATTGGACTCAGTGGGCACTGCACTGGAGTTGAGGAAACCCACTGGTTCTGTGGACCACACAAGACTGGGGCAGATGTAGCATAGACAGCAATGGGTATGTAGTGCTCACTGTGTGGTACTCCTACAATGGAACAACTGGGGCTTTTCCAGGATCTACTAATGCTAGCTCTGCTATTAGCAATGATCTCTGCATGGGTGGCTTAAACAGTGGTGAAATGTTAGAATACTTGTCTAGGAACCTATCAGTGGTTGCAGGCCTTATAGGAAACCAAGGTGGGAACCACAGTACCCACTCTGAGGAACTCATGCCCAATCTTGGCAGCAGCATCTGGTCAGACAAGGTGCATGGGTGGGGCAGCCAGAGCTGCTTAGGTAGGTGGGGCAGGAACTCTAGAGTTCCTCTCTGCTTCTTCAGTGGCAGAGCACACCCAGAACTGGGACTATAGTCAGAATTTGGTGTGGCAAGTCCCAGGACACTTGGGACTATAGTCAGAGCTGGGCATGGTCCTCCCAACATTCCCCTTGGCCATGTACACCTGTGGGGGTGGGTCAATGCTTAGCTTCATGGAACTGCTCAAAGTCCCCACAGCATACCCGCATGGATAGGGCAGTATGAGAGTTGCAATGTTCCCTCTCTACCCTGTCAGTCACAGGCATTAGTGCAATGCAGTGGGACAGGTGGCAAAAATGGCATGGGACTTCAGTGAGTCCATGCACATGTGGTTGGCCATGCTCCTTGTGGTGGGCTATTCTCAAAGGGAAAGCACTCTGATCTCATGGTTCTATTGGGTGACCCTCTGTTCTCTGTGTCACAATGTCTGTCCCCTGCACTGTAGGGCGCAGTGGAATGTCAGTGGAGTCCCAACAGATGAGGGCTCTGACTCTCAAACAGGTTCAAATTCCGTTATCTTATTTCTCAAGATGGTTTTGGTGATGGCATCCTCAGGGAGGGGTTAGTGGCCAGTGGGATACCTGAGATTCTTTCTAAAGGAAGGCTACTTGCCCATGTCAGGCTTCTTATATTGGTGGGCTGTGAGCCTGGGAGGACTGGGAAGCTTCCCAGGTGCTACAACTGCCAGCACCCACATTGTAGCTTGCTTTTGTCACCCTTCCAGGAAGCCTCTCCCTCCTCCAGGTGTGGATTTGGTGTGGCAAGTCCCAGGTCTTAGAATCTCACGGGATTCTATCGCTCTTACTGATTTCCAGGGTTCTTCCATGGTCACTCACCTCTGAACACAGCTATGTATCTTTAACTCTTCTTTGTGGAGGAGTTGAGTGATGGGCGCCTCTATTCAGCCATCAGCCAGGAGATTATCTTTACAACCTTAGAGGTTAAAAAAACAAAAAGAATCTTAAGCAAAACTCAAAATCAATCAATCAATCAATCAATCAATCAATCAATCAGTCAATCAATCAATCATGCACACCTTTAGTCCCAGCACTTGGGAGGCAGAAGCAGGCAGATCTCTGTGGGTTCAAGGCCAATCTGGTCTATAAATAGTGAGTTCTAAGCCAGCTGCAGCTACAGGGAGACCCTGCCTCAAAAAGACCAAAAAATAGGAAAGTGCAGAAACAGACAGAAAATATTCCCAACAAATGCCACGTGAGCATACTACATGTACAAAGAGTGCTCCAAACTCACAGTAAAAAGACAACTCATAACAGAATGGACAAAACAACCGAAAAGACACTTTGAACAGAAAATGTAGAGATAACTAACAGCATCCAAAAGGATGCCCGACACTCTTAGTCATTTAGGAAAAAGCTAATTAAAACCACAATGACAGTCACTTCACATTCCTCAGAATGGCTAAAATTAAAGTCCATCTCCAATAACACCATCAAGTTATGAATCGGGTAGTGGATTAATCCACCAATGAAGTCAACGCAGACCCTTCCCCAAAGCTCATCAGCCATCAACTAAGTCTCAGATTAGAACTATAAAAGATAATTCCACTGGGCATGGTGGCACATGCCTGTAGTCCCAGCACTTGGGAGGCAGAGGCAGGCAGATCTCTGTGAGTTCAAGGCCAGCCTGGTCTACATAGTGAGTTCCAGGACATCTGGGGCTACAGGGGAGAACCTGCTTCAAAAAAAAAAAAGACAAAAAAAAAAGGATAATTCCATTTGTACATCTTTTCTAGTATACAAATGATTAACAAGCACATGAAAAAGTTGACTTTGTTAGTCATTTAGATAGGACTAATTAGGGGCTGGAGAGATGGCTCAGCAGTTAAGAACACTGTTTTTTTGCAGAAGACCCAGGTTCAAATTCCAGTACCCACATGGCAGCTAACAGTTATCCGTAACTCCAGTTCCAGGGGCTCTGACAGCCTCTTCTGACCAATGCAGGCATTGCACGACATGGGTACACTTACCTACATGCAGGCAATACACGCATACACATAAAATAAAACAATAAAGTTTTTAAAAAAGAAAACACTAATTAAGCCAGGCATGGTGGTACATACCTTTAATCCAGCACTGAAGAGGCAGAGGCAGGCAGATCTTTATGAGTTCAAGGCCGGCCTGGACCTCATAGTGAGACCCTGTCTCAACAAAAGAAAACAAAAGCCGATTAAAACGGCAGTGTGATATTATCACACACCCACTGGAATGGCTGTAATACTGACATTAAATGATGTGAGAAAGCGGAGAAATCAAAGCCATCACACATTGCTGCTTGGGCCCTAACACTGTGCAGACAATTTTGGAAAACAGATTGTCAGGTTCTTAAAAAGTTAAATGGGTGTGTGTGTGTGTGTGTGTGTCAGGATTTGAGTGGTAAATGTATGAAATTTTAAAAGCTCAATAGAAAATAAAACTTTTGTTGGAAAAAAGTTAAACAGAAACTTAATATGATTCTATAACTGCACTCTTACGAACTACCCAAGAGACATAAAAAATCAAATCCACACAACCACTTATACACAGAAATGTTATGTTTATACCAGAGGCATTGTAACAACTAAAACTCAAGACAATTCAAATGCTTATCAACTGGCAGATAAGAAAATGTGTCACTGTTCACACAAATGAATGCTTTAAGTAATACAAAGGAATGACCTACTACTGATAACCTCTGTAACACAGGAAAACCTCAAAAATATGAAGCCAAACCCTGGGGAGATGGCTGATTTGGTAGTGTTGGCCATGCAAGCATAAGGAGTTCAATCCCCAGGAGCAACATAAAAAGTTAGGCACAGCAATGTGTAAGGCAGCACTGGGAGGCAGACACAGGCAGGCCCCTGGGGTTTGTTGCCTGCCAGTCTAGTTCTAGGTTCAGCGAGAGACTCTGCCTCAAGGGAATAGAGAGACAGAGGACACACATGTGCACACACCACATATATTAGTTTATTTTTATCTTATGTGTATGAGAGTTTTAGCTACATGTGGAAGTGCACCCATGCATACAATGTATATGGAGGCCAGAAAAGTGTGTCGATCCCCTGGAACTGGAATTACTAGGGTTATTAGCTGCCATGTGGGTGCTGAGAACTGAGCGATCCACTGCAAGAGCAGCCAGTGCTCTTACCCAGAGCCATCTCTCCAGCCTCAACCATATGTACTCTCAGTCACAGGCATGAATCTCAAAAACATTGAATGAAAGAAGCCACTTCTGTTTTTCGACTGTGTTTTATATTCCATTTATATGAATGTCACTGTGATACTAGAAATCAGAAGAGCAACTGCCTCTGAGGCACAGAGGCTGACTGCAAAAGGGCACAAGAGAGGTGTAATATATGAGTATGTACACTTACCCACACTCAGCACTTACTACTGGGCCGTACGCTGCATGAACTTCAACATGCTTAAAAACGCCCCTGCCCAAGGAGACACAATGCAAGACAAACTCAAAACGGATTAATCACACTTGTAGATGATGGGGGTGGGGGCTGGAAAGACGGCTCAGCGGTTAAGAGCACTGAGTGCTCTTGCAGAGGACCCACATGGTGGCTAATAACTATCCATAATTCCAGTTCCAGGGCATCTGACACAGGCATTGCATGGCATGGGTGTACTTACAGACATGCAGGCAATACACTCATACATGTAAAATTTAAAAAATAAAAATAAAAAAGATGTATATGTATCTATTGTCTATGTGACATTTTGTGGTCATCCTAGTAAATATAAGTGATTGAAAACTTAGTTTTAATTTTGTCACATGGCATTATATATATACATATATATTATGAAACATTAAGTTCATATTTTTCTGTGCATTCAAGTTCAAGCTCCAACTGAGTTGCAGTTGTAAAATAGACAGTCCACTTTCTCTTTACCTAAAAATCTTAAGACACCTTCCAAAGCAAGTGTATTTAACATGAGCTTCTGGACCTCCTCATAGGAAGATAAGTACCTGATAACCTTACAGACTCAGAGGAGGAAGCAAAACCAAGTCTGGTACCGATCATGTTTTACAGATTTGGAGCTTACAGGGTGGTCACTTCAAGCCTGCATTTACTGCAGCCCAGCTGTACCACTCCTGCACTCAGAACACTAGGAGAAAAGGCTAAACTGTGGGGCACACCCTGAAGACCACTTCCTGGTCAATGGCATTTGCCCAGACTCTGTCCACGAGGAAAGAACTGTCCCTACAGGCAGCTGCCTAGCCCTCTGTTACTTTCCTTCTCTCCCTCATTCTCTTTTTTTTTTTTGGTCTTTTTGAGACAGGGTCTCCCTGTAGCCCCAGCTGTCCTGGAACTCACTATGTAGACCAGGCTGGCCTTGAACTCATAGAGATACACCTGCCTCTGCCTCCTGAGTGCTGGGATTAAAGGCCTGTGCCACCACGCCCAGCTCCTCATTCTCTTTTGAGTGACACCTCAGTCTGCAGAGCCCGGCCTGGAGGCATAATAGCAATGGAGATATAAACTCTGCTCCCCAATTTGTCCTTGGACAACCCAACCCAGGCCTAGGCTAGCATTGGGCCCTTCCCACACTCCTGGGGCTTTTTAAAACATTCATGCCTTTGACCCAGTAGCAGCATTCCAAGAAGTAATGGAGAGGAAATTATACATGAAGGAAGGAAGGAACTGCTTCTGGACCAGCTCATTTCAGTGTATTTGCAATAGCAGACAAAACACCCTCTCCCAAAAGGGATCAAAACAACTTCTAACAATAGGAAATCAGTCAGGTGAACTATGATACCAGTCAGTAGATGACCACTCCCTGCAGCCATGGGAAACAAGCTCTGGGGAAAATTAACAAACAGGAAGGCACAGCCATATTGCAGTGCTGAGTGACAGAAGGCAAGGGCTTGCATAGCAGGGCCTTTCACAGGCAGTGTAGAATTCCCCTAGACTCCCAGAGGGGAAACATGTCTGTGGACGCCTTCCTGAGAGGTAATTAGTAGCATGGCCTTGCATACCTGTAGTTCTCAGACTCCAATGTGGGTGTTATCAAAAGGACCAAATTTTTTGCTTTGGGTCTTACTATGTAGCCCTGGCTGGCCTTGAACTCACAGAGATTTGCCTGCCTCTGCCTCTCAAGTGCTGGACTAAAGGCATGCACCACCACACCCAGCAGAAACTAGGATCATGATTCAGTATGTTGACGCTGGCCACTCTGGCTAACTTCCAGATGAGATGGCCCTGCCATACACAGAAAATCGAGGCTGTAAATGACATGTCTGAGAGAGTGAGGACCAAGCTTTGCTCACAGGGACCATCTCCAGCTGGTCAGAACATGAGGGAACATTTACATTTTCTACAAGGTAAATTACTTTTGTGGTAATGGAGAAAACTTATTCTTCAAAATCATTGATTCTGTAATTATTTCTACAGCACCACATCTCAAACACTATGAAATGGGGTCAAAAGTTTATTATAATCATTCACAATGATTTAAAAAATGAGCAATCACTTAGTTCACTGACTTTTATTATTTGCAGTGTTAGGGTTCACACCTAGGGCCTTGCTCATGCTAAGCGAACACTTGGCCTTCATGCTTCAACCCTAGTTCCCTAATTTTAAGAAAATGGCTAATTCTATGGCTCATAATAACCGAAACAGCATGCAGTGGCTAAAAATATTTACAAAGACATGGTGAATTTTAATCACAGTGTGACAACTGGGTTAAAATGCTAACATTGAATGAATTAATGTTTATAAAATGTTAAATGTAGTAAGGTTTGGGGGAAAAAGCTAGGTGGGTGGCTCATTCACAATCACCTGAGTTTGAGGCCGGCCTGGGCTACAAGTGAGACTCTGTCTCAAAACAAAACAGAAACAAAAAAGGAAACAAACCGAAATGTTAATGTCTTTGCATCCTTGAATGGAGATGTGAGGTGTATTAGTCAGACTTTTCGTTGCTGTGACAAATACTAAGAAAAAATAAATCGTCTTGGGCTGGTGAGATGGCTCAGTGGATAAAGATGCTTGTCATGTAAGCCCAATGGCCTGAGTTCAATTCCCAGAAGTGACTTCTGTAAATTGCCCCCTGACCTCCACTCGTACCATGGCACACATGTGCCTGCACTCATACACACGCACCACCTTAGTGGAGGAATTATTTATTCTGGCTCACAGTTTCAGAGGTCTTATAGTCCGTATCAGCTGGGCCCTCTGCTTCTATGGCAAGGCAGAAACATCTTGGTAGAAGGGCACAGTGAAGAAAGCTGCTCACTCTACAGTGGACAGGAAGTAGAATAAAGTCAGCAGGCCAGTAGTGACAGGCTTGGCTGTCCTTTAGCTCTTCTTCCACCTGGCCCCAAGCCCACTTTCAGCCTGAGCCTTCTTCCTTCAGCTGCTGTTTCACATGCCAATCATCTCTGGAAACACCTCTCAGTCACAGCCAGAGATATTGTGGTGGTTTGAATGAGAATGTCCTCCATAGGTTTCAAGTATTTGGACACTTGGTCCCCAGTTTGTGGCACTGTTTAGGGGGATGATCATGGAACCTTTAGGAGGCGTGGCCGTGCTGGAGGAAGGGCATCACTGAGGGTATCTTCTGCTTCCTGTACCTGCCTGAAGATGTGAGTACTTAGCTTTCAGCTCTGGCTGCCTCCTGCCATGCCTCCCCTGCCATGATGAGATTCTTTTCCCTCTGGAACCATAAGCCCAGTAAACTTGTCCTTCTATAAGTTGCCTTGGTCATGGTGTTTTATCACAGCAACAGAAAAGTAACTAATACAGGTATCCTTTACTAATCTCCTAGGCATCTCTCAATCTAATCAAGCTGTCAGTCAAGATTGGCCATTATGAGTGGTTTAAAGATTAATTTCCTTTAAAAATCTGAAGCTCAAGGGAAGAGGTACATGACCATATGGAAAGAGTGTCTTTACAGGCTCCTGGGACCTTGCTCATATGAACCTACAGCAATAGTGTCAGCATGCACAAGACCCATGCAAACTCAAGCAGACAAAAACCCAGCACAAAACTGGGGAAATGGGCAGCAGGTCCCAGTAGCTAAAGAACTACTGGCAATTACTGCTGAGTGAGGAAGAGTTGATCTTAAAGGGAGTGACTCTAGATAGGCTGACTAGACCTCAGTGGAAGAACTTGCACTGAGGGACATCTGGGTACACTAACTTAACTCAATAGGCCTTAACATAAATGACAGAATGCATGAAATCTGGTGAGGGATGGAGGGTGAGGGAATGTGGGGGTGGCGCTATGGCAATGTGAGGATGGGGGTATAAAGATGATTAAGATGTTTTGTATAAAATATACAAAACTTCAATAAAAATTATATAGGAGTTTTAAGGAGGGTAGGGTTAGAACTGGGAGGCAAGGATATCAATGAAAAGTGACAAGAGTAAGGAGAGAAAAGGAAAAGTCATTCATGGTTTGGAGAGATGGAACAGACTTGGTTCCATTAATGTGTATAGGGGAGGGTGGGGACTGCAGGGCGTCTCCCTAGAACACCTGGCTAGGTGCAGAAGACAGACAAAGGCTTGGTGAAACAGGCTACACAGCTGAAGCTATGGGTCTGCACCTGGGGGGCAAAGCCAGGGCTCAGAGCCTGCCATTTTTTTTTCCCTTCCTCATCCTGGCTGAATGGGTCTGGGCATGAGTTGTGAACAGGGAAGGTCTCGGCTCTGCTGCCTGGAGGGAGCCTGTTGTCCCTCCATTCACACAATGGATGCTTCCAGCCTTTAGAAAGACCTCAACTATCAATCTCTACCTTTCCATCCCCAGAACACAAGCAATTCTCAGGACTCCACAGAGGTATAAGGACTGGACACTCAGGCCACCCTCTCTGGGAAAGCAACATGGTGCCCATTCTGTGTTTCCATTTCTAGTCTCACTTCTTTTCTGAAGCTCAGTTTACTTTCGTATCTCTCCTTACAGGCAGCAAAAGGCAACAGGAACAAATGCTGGTAAAGAGAACGCCACATGGCTGGCTGAAGAGCAAACTAGGTAGCCCTTTACAAGGCTAGAAAATGTTTTAACACTGAAGTGTAAATATTAGTTAATAGCATCAGTAACACTTTTCAAATTAAAGAAGATCCTGCAGTGCATCGGCTCCAGTTCCCCACCACAGGGGAAGCGGGACATGGCCCTTCACTGCACCTATGTTAGGGTTTCACAAAATGTTCTTGGCCCTCATGCCATCCCTGTCATGAGGAAGTCTAGAGGACTCAGCCCTAAGCCAGCTCTTTTTCCACATTGACACTGGCCTGCTCTTCCACAGTGGGGATTCCGTGGAATTTACATCCTCATGAATGCCAGAATGTGGAAGATTGCATTACTTTCACACTCAGAGAGAATTTTTAACTACTAAACAACAGAGCCAGAGCCTTGAGTGCAAAGTCAAGGACATGGGTGGGTCCAGTTCTTACCCATTCCAAAGTCACTGATACATGAAGCGCACACATCATTAACATTTGTCACAGAGGACATTCCCAAAGGCCACATGGCAGCCCATAGTTCTCTTACAGAGAGAGGTCAGAACTGGAAAGCGTTTGCATCCTACTATCTTCCTTCTAGCATTATGGGGTGAGGGAGAGTCTCCGTAAAGTGAAATAAGCCAGGTTCCGCCAAAAAGAACAGCAACAGGCGCCTCCCCCACCACCTTGACTCTTAACCACACAGGCACCGGAGAGCCTCCTGACCTGTCATTTCATCCCCATTGTCCTTCAAACCAGGCATTACCTTGCATGGAGAGGTTCAAGACATAAGTCAAGGCAACAAGCATGAGGTGGTAAAACACTCAGGAATCAATCTCGAGATGAGTCCATGCTCAGGACTGCTTTGTCTTGCCTTTGTCTGCTCTGGCCAACTGTAAGCCAAACCTCTTTTCCTTGGCCAGGGAATTAATAACTACCCAAGGGAGCATATAACCTAAATCCCAGAGTTCTGGAAGGATCCAACCAGCCCGCTGGTCTGCCATTTACAAAATACCTGTTAACTTTTTTTGGCCCAAGCAAGGCATTCTGCTTGCCAGCCCTTGCTTGTTCTGCTTTCTTACCCTCTAGGGACATACACGCCTAGAGTGACAGTCTAGGGACAAAGACCGAAAAACAGCACCTTGTTCTCCTCAAAGCTGCGTCAATGACTTTTATTAATGGACATGATCTGGACTAATGACTTTTTTGTTGTTGTGTTGTTCTTTTTGACACAGGGTCTCCTATAGCCCCAGCTGTCTTGGAACTCACTATGTAGACCAGGCTGGCCTGGAACTCGCTGAGATCTGCCTGTCGCTGCCTCCCAAGTACTGGGATTAAAGGCGTGCGCCACCATGCCCAGCCTGGACTAATGACTTTTAATTAACCCCAGCAAAGCCATGTGCTCTTGGGTCTGATGACAGGGTGTTCCCTTGGCAAGCTCAGTTTGGTATTCCACCTAAAAAGATAATGAATGACTGTGGGTATTCTTGAGATTTAACATATCAAAGTGCTGAATGGCTCTCTATATGACACAGTGGAGACTGGGAAGGACACATGACCTTGGATTAATGTGAATTAGGGATGAAGAGGGTCAGCAATATTTAAGAGTGGAGCTTGAACTTGAACTTGCACTTTCCCAGTGAAACTAAAGAAACCAATTGGGGAGAAAAGAAAACCACAGAGTGGGAGAAAGCGTTCCAGAGACAGTTCAGCACAGGGTGAGGACACAGACAGCACCATCTGTATAGGTTGAGGGGACGAGAGCCACTGCACAGTTCTGGAGACAAATGGCTTCAATAGACAGCTGGGGAACTAGTGTCCTCTGAATTCAGGCCCATACTTACTAACAGACACACAACCACTTCATTCCTGTTTCATTTCTGTGGGTGACCAACCCACAAGTGCTATGGAACCTGAGGACTCAGAAGGAAACAACATTCTAAACAGACTTTAATTGTGATGAAACTCCAAATACAGGCAGAGATGACCCTTAACAGAAGTTTCAAAATGAGGAACTTAACTCTCCCTAGACTTGACCTGCAGAAGTGTCTCAAAGGCTGGGCTTTGTGCAAGTGCCCGAGTTCCTCATTGTGCAGAGCTTTCTGAGAAGCTACACCTAAGCAATGTACAAGAGCGGAATTTCGACAGCAGGATCGAGGTGGGCAGAGCAGGAAGTGGGAGAGAGGACCTCAGCAAGTCCTGGGAGACTCTTAGGATACCTAGGATTCACCTCAGGGAGCCAAAGCCCAGAATCAAGCCAGAGGTCCCAAGGTGCACAGGACATACCATGTGCGCACTGGCAGAGAGCTCACAGTGTGTTGTGTGGGACGTATTCCTGTTCTGCCCACACGGCTCCATCTCTGGGGTATTGCCTGTGTTGTAATCTAAAATTCCGTGTAGCTGGGCATGGTGATGGATGCCTTTAATCCCAGCACTCGGGAGGCAGAGGCAGGCAGATCTCTGAAATTGAGGCCAGTCTGGTCTACATAGTGAATTCTAGGCCAGCTGGGGCTACAAGGGAACTCTTTTTCAAAAAAAAAAAAAAAAAAGAAAAAGAAAAAAAGACTAAAGAAAATTCCATGTAAATGAGAAGAGCAGATGGTGAGGGAAACAGTCGTACAGTACAAAACACAAGCCTTTTCATATTCTCACAGGACAAGAGCCTCCCAACTTACCTCTTTGACCCTTTTAAAAATGTTCTGGGGGCTGGAGAGACAGCTCAGCGGTTAAGAACACTGGTTGTTCTTGCAGAAGACCCAGGTTCGAATCCCAGCACCCACATGACAGCTAACAACTGTCCATAACTCCAGTCCCAGGGGATCCGACAGCCTCTTCTGACCTCCACAGGCACTGCATGACATGGGTGCACTTACCTACATTCAGGCAATACACAAATACACATAAAAAAAAAATGTTCTGGTACTGGAGGGCTAGGGAGATGGCTGTTAAAGCCCTTGTTATGCAAGTGAGGACTGGAGTTTAGATTCCCAGGACCTGTGTGGATGCCAGGAGGGTGTGGCAGCTCACTTGGTATTCCAGTCTCAGAAAGGGCTGGGAACCCCCAGAGCAAGCTGGCTGGCAAGACTTGGGGAACTCTGGGTTTGACTGAGAGACCCTGCCTCACTGAATAAGGTAGAGTCAATGAAGATAATTCTTGACATCAACTTGTGGCTTCCACATGCACACACACTTGAACATATGTGCACATGCACCCCACACCACCTGAAAATGGGGAAATAAGTGTTCTGGTTCTGGGCCTGAAACCCAGGGCCTCTGGGATGCCAGGCAAATGCTTT